ACCAGCCGGGGTGGGATGATGCAGTGAGAACTTGGAGGGAACGAAAATGTGTAACGAGGGCAAGGGTTTGAGATATGTGGTGTTAACTTCTCTCTTTTCTCCTACAAAATCTTCATTTAAATCTGTATCACTTTTGGTTTAGTGCTTTGTTTGAGCAAATTTGTAGTGAGGAGACATGAAAACGTTCCTATCCAGCTATGTAAAAAGGGAAAATAGACCCCAGCAAATGCAGAAAACACAGGTTAAGAGTAAAAAGCTTTAATCTGGGTCACACTGAAATGAATCTGATCAATCATCATAACATTGCCTTCTCTTTAATATGTTAATTGATCCTCATGGAATAATCTTTCTATAAAATATTTACGCTTCTATGTTATCAATATGCCTTTAGGCACACACATATACATGCAACCCACTTTAATTTTTTTTAACCTTTTTCCTTCCTGTAAAATTCAATAAGACTATAACTAAAACACGGGAGATAATAATATACCTCAAGCCAAACATATATTTTGTATGAAAAATTGAAATAACTAAGGCAGCACATTTTTAGTCTCAATTATCTGAATTCTTTCTCAATTTTTATTTTATCCTGTAAAAGAAGGGAAACAGACAGAAGACAATTGTAGACTCTCTGGGGGTACTGATCTTACCTCTTTTTTTATTTCCTGGGGAAATACTGCTTTTGGAAGAGGTTTCCTTTTCAGCATTAATTTCTTATTTATAAAGTGCCAATGAATCTTGTCTTACACTTAATATGGGAAAAAATACAAAATAAGCACTGTGCAGAATATGTGGCAAATGAAGCAAAGAAACCATTTTTTCCCTAGTGTTTCAGACAGGAACTGAATGAAAATCACATTCTTTACACTAATAGTCACCAGAACTTCAAGATGAATAAAAATTTAGGAAAGTAAAAGATCCACAAATTAGTAAACATTACATTCATCTAAGAAAACTATTAAATAACTTCTTGGACTTCTAAAAAGCATTCTGCCTTAGACACGCTGAACTTCCCTGATGTTATCACAAAAAATAAATAAACAAAAAATTTTAAAACACAATCTTTAAACATAGCTTTCTGAAACTAGAACATGAAAGGAAAGAGCAAATTCATTTTCTGATAGACCTAAAATCAAAGCCAATGAGTAGAAAAGACGGAACATTTCTACCTAAATGGAAGTTAATTTGAAATAAAGGTAAAATCAGTTAAGAAGAACAAAATTACTAAAGATTATGGAAGACATAATTTATTACCAAAACAATGTGTTAGGCTCGAGAGTTTCAATGGATAATATTTGTATTTCAAGTCAATTACGTATTATAACGTTGAAAAAGCCAATGAGACTTTTGGGAACAATGGAAAAAATACAATGTGTGAACGAAAGAAAATTATCAATCTGTGTTACGTTGTTGATTATTGTGTTTAATCTCCCCTCTTGTTAAGATAGCTGTGGGCTTAGCAACTAAAACGGTGCGGGGCACTATATCACATGAAGAGAAGTTGACAAAATAGGATGCAATATCTGGACAGAAGACTGAAGCAAAAGCTGAGGGTAAGAGGGTAGCTTTCTCCAAGTGTCAGAGCATTGTTACGTGAAAGATTTACACTGTTCTTCCTGTCTCTATCAAGGAGATCTGGGCTACATATAAGAATGTTTCAAAAGTCAAATTTGGGTCGTCATAGAATGGGTGGTCACGTTAGACCTCTTTTGTGGCTGGGCGCAGTGGCTCAAGCCTGTAATCCCAGCACTTTGGGATGCTGAGGCGGGTGGATCACGAAAGATCGAGACCATCCTGGTCAACATGGTGAAACCCTGTCTCTACTAAAAATACAAAAAATTAGCTGGGCACGGTGGCGCATGCCTGTAATCCCAGCTACTCGGGAGGCTGAGGCAGGAGAATTGCCTAAACCCAGGAGGCGGAGGTTGCAGTGAGCCAAGATCGCACCATTGCACTCCAGCCTGGGTCACAAGAGGGAAACGCCGTCTCAAAAAAAAAAGACCTCTTTTGTTTATAAGTAGTAATAGAGAGAGAGAGAGAGAGAGAGAGAGAGAGAGAGAGAGAGAGAGAGAGAGAGGAAAAAAAAGAGAAAGTTATTAGCCACACAACTGAGAAACCCAAAGGTAGAGCTAGCTCTAGGAAAAGGATTTAGAGGTTTCAATAGCTGCCATCATGCTCTCCATTTCTGTTTGGCTTTCATCTTGTGTTTGGTTTCTTTCTCAGGCAGCCTCTTGATACACAAGAGCAAAGACGGCTACTGGAAGCACCAGGTTTACCAGAGTTTGCAATCAGAACAAAGAAAGTGGCCCTTTCTCCTTCATCTTCCGTTTGTCAGGTATGATGGAGAACCGTGACTGGTTCCCAAAGTGGTTACATCTTGGACCTGTGACTATAGATGGGGAATGGCTGCTGGGAAAGACCTACTCTAGCTACCCCTAAGAGCCCAGCAACCCAATCGTCATCAACAGAACCACTCTGAGTAGAAGAGAAGACACCGAGGAGCTGTGAAGCAAAAACAAACAGGCAAAACTAAACCAGACTAAGAAAGGGTACATACCATGGCTCCTCTGGAAGGCAATGAATTTCTCATCACTGAAAATGTTTGAGCAGAGGTCTAATAACAGTTTGTAGATAAAAGGCCACAGCGCTGTTTTCCAACTGTGGGACAAGTTCTCCCTCCTCTACTCATGCAGTCGACACCTGACACTAAGCATACAAGACAGCCGCCATATGAACAGCATGGTGCACAAAGTGGACAAGATCCCTGCTTTGCAGTAGCCTATAATCTACGGCCTCTAGTCTATGAAAGAGAATGTTTGTCACACAGTATGAGTGTGATTAAAAGAAAAGATGTATGTGGAAACTGACCATTACAAAGCAACATATGAATGTATGTTATTAGAGAGCACACTTGCTCTGTGAACACTGGCACGAGTGGAACAAGCTTTAATTCCAACCACACCTTTTTCGGGAAGCTCATTGTATGAATTAAGTCACTACCTCTTTGCAAGGCTCAGCCTTCTGATTTGAAAATGAAACAAAAGTGGGTGTAAACTCACTCACACATTCGCCAAAACCCCAAGAAATTTAAATGATGAAATAATGGCGCATTGCCTCCTTGATCCTAATTCTTAAAGGGCCCTTAATACTACTGTTTTATTGCTTGATTGAGTGCCAATTTTTCCTTAAAAAACTGTCTATTCGAAGAAGGCAGCCTGAGATATTAAGAATTCACAGTTAAACTATGGAATTCAGTGATTCATTTTGAATGAAAAAAAGTGGTCAGCTAATCTTGTGTGTGTCTGTGTGTGTGTGTGTGTGTGTGAAGAGATGGTCAGGATATTGGGCAGGATGATGAAAAAATAAAAAGTTACTCACCATTCTTAGGTCTTCAGATCTGCCCTGGTTGTATCACTTATGGTTTTTCCCAGATGCATATGCAATGCTGTGACAGCCCCTAATGTATGATAGGAAATAGCAGGATTAAGAGAAACCTCTAAATCAGATAGCATGTGCCACAGCCAAACCATCTGGAAAAGAAGGGAAGTTTGGACCAGGACCTGATTTTCCCCACATAGGACTCTTCACATCTTTAAATCAGTCATTGATCAAGGGGAATATTCCCCCAATCTCTAAAACATTGACGTCATATCGATATTCGCACTCACTTTCACTTCATTTTCAAATTAGAAGTTTGAGCATTAAAGGAAGTGACTTACCTTACCACAGAATAAACAGAAAATAATTTGCAGAAATTTCCTCTTCTCTGAAGGAGGCAAATAGAATGTAGAAACCCTGCCCAGCTGACTAAAATGAAAAGTGCAGGAGTGATTGCCAAAAACCTACTTACGTGAGGACATTAAAATTGCATGAGCATCCGCATCCCTAAGTAAGGACCAGTGATTGGGACTTAAACACCAGGAAAACAGCAAAGCCCGCTGTTTTTCCATGTTCAAAGATAAAGATAAAAGGAGGCTTCCGAGTCAAAGGTTGTTTTTTTTTTTGGTGGGGGTAGGGTGTTGAGATGTTAAGTGCACTGCTTGTTGATCAGTGGAGTGGGAGGTGGGTTTTGGGTTTTGATGTTTGGGTTTTTTAATTCCCAAGTTTCCATTTTTGCACGTTCCAGTCATTTGGCAATGAGTAGACACAAATCACGTTGGAACAATTAATGAATGTCTTGACTAAGCTCTGCTTGTTCCTTGCCTGTTTGCATTATTCTCTAATACATTTTTTTCTGGTGAGAGGGCAAAAATGTGTGTCTACATGCATGCCTGTGAGAGTGTGTGTGTGTGTGCATGCCCACGTAGGTGTCTATTTTCCATTCTGTTTGGAGGACAACAAAAGAATGGTACCTCAAATAAAAAAGCATCCTTTAGTTTTTCAACAGTTTCTACAGCTCAAACATTTCCGATCCTAAGTGACCCTGCTTCTTATTTGACAGAGATATTCTATTACCTTGTGGCTGTGTTTTTGAACATTTTTCCTGTCCCAGCACACAGAGAGCACACAGGCTGCTCCTGGCTGGCAGTGATCAGCTGCAACAGAGTTCCTGTGAGGGGGATTGGGATCAGAACAGGGCATCCCCACTTTGACTTCAGACACTGGAAATTGTCAAGCAACTCCCTCCAAAGGAGGTAGAGCGCACATTCTTTCTCTAAAAACCAGTTTGCTAATATGATCACCTTACAGAATTGCATTCTCTTTCTTATTTCAAACATGTCACATTAATTATCAGTATGTTTGCAGTGAAGTTCTTATGGTTAGAGTAGTTTTCCACAAATGCAGGCTGCCCTGAACTGGTTGGCCCATCCCTGTGAGTTAGTTGCTGGGTCTCTTTCCAGAAGCATTGTCTTTGAGGGGATTCCATCCTGTATATTTTTACTGCCTTATTCTGTAATTAGGAAATAAGCAGGCGGCTCTCAAGTAAAAAACTAATAACTTACAGATTCATAGGACTTATTTCAAAATCAAGAATCAGGGGAAAATGTAATATTAGGTAATTTTGACCAAAGAATCAGCATTTCAATGGCAAATTTATGTAAGGATGGTGATATGGTTTGGCTGTGTCCCCACCCAGATCTCATCTTGAATTCCCATGTGTTGTGGGGGTGACCGGTGGGAGGTAATTGAATTGTGGTGATGGGTCTTTCCTGTGTTGTTCTCATAATAGGGAATAACTCTCATGAGATCTGATGGTTTTATAAAGGGCAGGTTCCCTGCACAAGCTCTTTTCTCCTGTCTGTTGCCATGTGAGAAGCGCCTTTCACCTTCTGCCATGATTGTGATGCCTCCCTAGCCACGTAGAACTGTGAGTTAAACTTCCTTTTCCTTATAAATTATCGAGCCTCAGATATGTCTTTACAGCAACATGAAAACAGACTAATATAGGTGGGTATTGTGTTTTTAATATTTGTAACAAGAAAGAACTAGCATTTGCGGAATATGGCCTGTCCCCTGCCTAGGTGTCAGGAGAGCCACTCCTCCCAAAGGAGTGCTTGTGAGCAGAGGTGATCAGAGGACTTTCTGAAGAGCGAGGAGGTGAGGTCACTGCATTTGTTGGGCAACACTGTATTTGACTCTCACAAGAGACATTTCTTTTCTAAGTTTCTGTTTGTTTATACTAGTGATTTCAGAGGGCCAAAAAGAAGAAAAGGGAGTGAGCCAGTCATTAAGGCCCCTAATCTCAGCTTATTTTGACTGCTTCTCAACACAGCATTGCAAGTGGTTGATTTGGTAAGTATGAAGGCAGCAGACCAAAATTTCTGTTCCTAAAGCATTCTTGTTAATAATGTCAGGATATTTTCAGCAGTTTTTTTTTTTTTTTTTTTGTGGCCCATAAAGCAAATCGGCCTTTGGTTTTTCACAGCTTATTCATTCTAGCTGCCTGATTCTCATGCACTCTCAAAGTCTTATTACATAAAGCTCGAGATTTCAGCAAATTTTACTCATAAATTATATCATACTGACTTGGTTCATTTTTAAGGTAAAACAGATTTAGTTAAATCACATATTTCAAAGTTGATTCTGGTCATTTGAGCGCTTTTGGAAGTTCTCTATTGAATTTTTCTAAATGACATTACCATTCGTTGCTGTCATTGTTTCCCTGGGAAATGATGTTCTTATATTTTAAAGATGCTAGCCAAAATTTGGAATTGCTTTAACTTCTTTTTTTCTAGCTGAGTGCTTCCAGAAATAGATTATTATCCGCAGTGAACCCTCAAATGCCTCTTTTAAAAACCAGACCACTGCTTTACTCCAAAAAATTATGTGGCCACTGTTCTAAAATTTTGACCAAAAAGATGTATAAATAGTAAAATGTGAATAACAAATACTTATGCCTTAAAGAATATTTTAAAAATGTGTTTCATACATACAGAGTTAAACAGAAGTAGAATTGAAGTGAGTTGTTTCATCATTTAAGAAAAAAATAAGAAAATCTTAATTAGTGCTTATTAAAAACTCTCATCACAAAAAAATATTTACTTAACAGCTTATTTAAAATACACGTAGCTGGAGACGAACACAGTCCTCATCCTAGTTCTTTGGACTTTGAAACTGAAAACATCTGAGAAGAAAAGCCTGCTGGTTTTCTTCAAATGTCACAGCAGACTGAATTGCTTTCTATAATTCAAACAAAAATCAACTCATTAGACAATCTGTAAAATCAGCACTTTTATGTATTTTTAGCAAAGTTTGTGTGAAAATAATCATCAAACAACGAGGTAAGTTTCACTCTTGCATGGTATCTGCGCCATGCACACAGACGTAGGAATGTGATGTATATATATGGACGTACAAGCAATGAAAGCTATCTTTGTGTGAATATTTGTAAAGTTCCTTTTTAGTGAACTCAAATTTTTTAAAATGTCATGTGCGGCAGAGTATTTGGATAGGCCCATATAAAAAAATCAAAGGGCCTTATTTTCTCAGGTGCTTTCACTGGCAAGAAAAAGAGTTCTTTCTAAATATTCAGAGGTATAAGGGATTGAGTCAAGAAGAATTTAAATGATCTCCAGCTTTTGATATCATAGTGAAATATAACATTCTCCTAAAAACGTTGCTGAATATAATTGCCAAAAATCTGACTAGACTCAGGGTGAACAGTTGTTTCAAACATTTTCTATTTCTTGTTTTTTAATGTGGAAATAAGAGAACCTTAAAATACTGTGAAAGATATGGGATGGAATATCACTTCATCAGTGCATCCTACTGGGTTGAAATTTCTGGAGAATACTTTGGTATTTGTGCCAACCTCAGACTCTTTAGTGAAGCACTTGTTTTTCCTCATTTTTATTATTGCCCTGGTTTTCAGGTTTTTCCCCTAGCTAATGATGGATGCTTCTTTCCAATCTTTTTATATATTCCCTTTTATGTCTCCGAATCATTCCCCAGTCAGTTTAATCATTATTGGTTGCCACTGGGACTATGTTAGTTCCTGATTGTATCGTGAAAAGCCTTTTCTCTCTGCCTATTTGAGAGAATTATTTAAAATGTTCAATCCATCATCAGCTCTCTAATTGGAGTATCTGATTTTCCCCACCTTACTCCTTCACCCCCAGAATGACCTGGTCTAATGTACTCTGCAAAACAAAGCATTCATCACTTCAAGCCCACACTGGGCTCTCTCAGCAATGTCTTTCCAAAGACATTTCCTTTACTCAAGATGACTGATTCACTGTAGCTAAACACACCCATATGGCCTGCCCCAAATGCTGACTTTAATGAATTGGCCAAATAAAACACTGAGAATGTCTGTATAGCGAGAATACTAACATGCGCTTTGTAACAAATGACCGGAGTGTGGTTTTATTGAAAATTACAGTGGTGAAAAGAGACAGATGCAGGGAGTGTGTGCTGATGCATGGGTGGCCACGTTTCCATAAAGACACTTGTTTACCCTCATTAGTCCATTCTTTCCTTTCATAGTAATACAGTTTTTAATCTGCATCACATGACCACTCAGGATGGAGACTATTTCTGTTTCCCTTGCAGATGGATGTGGCACGTGACCAGGTTCTGGCTAATGAGATGTCTGAAACTTAAAATGGAAGAGATATATCATCTCCTTTTCCTTGCTCCATCCTGCTACCTGGAAAATGGATGTGATGACAAGCCCTGGAAAACCGCAAGGACGAGGACAACACTGGAGAGATGGGGCAGCACATGATGAAATCGCCCAGGTATCTAACAGCTGAGTAGAATTGCTCTCTCCAATTTTTACTTGGGAAGGAAATAAAACTGTTTTGTCAAAGAATCTCTTACTTTAAGTCAATGTTATAAGTAGCTGTGGCTATGTGCTAATTCTTTCCATTAACAGGCAGGTTTCACATGATAGCCTTCAGACATCTGAGAGTCACAGCATACACAGCCCTGATAACCTTGTGTTGTTATTTCTCTCAGGGACTGACTTACTCTTTGGCTAAATCATCTGAACCTTCAGGTTGAAAACCAAAATCACTGCCTCAGTGTTACACAATGGATTCTATTGCTGGAGTACACAAAGGAGAAGATGGAAATGGGCCTGAGGGAGAGTCTGCGTGCTGGACCAGAGTCAGTGCAGAGACATAATCACTGAATCAGATGAGACGTTTTGCCAACTTTTATCAGGGACAAAAGCCAAGGTCTCTTGCATCTCAGCCTGGTGCAGGGATCATTCTCCTGATGTTTCATCCTCTTTAAAGAACTATCAGAAACCAAATCTTAAGTAGATGTACCTGAGATATTTTTCCAGTTTTTCCCTTTTCTTATTTTTTATTTAGCTGTGTGTTTCTCCTTGTCCATTCTCCATTTCCTAAACTTTCTGTTGAATATCTTTTCTACTTAAAACTAGCCCCACGATTCAAAAGTGACCCTTGCTGATTTTGTGCCTTCTCTCACTTTGTGTTTTGGGGAATGAGGCAGATGGTGATCATTTCACTCTTGTTCTTGTTCATTTCTCGAAGCCGTGCGTATCCCTCTCTTTGGTTTGTGAAAGAATCAGTGTTTCCTTGTCAATAGCATCCTACTTACTTGTCAGACCCCTGGGTTCCATTTAGATTCATTCTTCACAAGGCATTAAAGTAAGGCAGCATTTTCATGGAGTTACAATGTCTTATTGTTGAAGGTGTCGTCTAGTCCAATCTCGCAACTAGTACAAAAGACTTACAGTTATTTGCTAGCTGTGTGTTTGAGCAAATTACTTAATCCCTTTGAATCTGATTCACACTAAGTGTGAATAAATGTCTGTAGTTTACGGTTAGTATTGCTTGGGTAGTAGTAGTAATAACCTGCAATGATACCACTTGCTAGAGTAGCTGTTAATAAAGTTTAGCCCTCCCTTGTTACCTCACAACAAGGCCTCTTTCACTTCTGAGCGGTTAAAATATTTTAGTCACTCTTTGGTTAAAACGAGCTAATTCCCCATAGTCTCCAACGATTTGCCCCAGGCCTTCCTGTAAAGCTTGGGGAATGAATCTACACAGTCCACACGATGCTGATTCTTCCCAGCAAAGCCTTCCATTCCTCTGACTGAACTTTGTCAGTCACTCTACCACTTTAACATTGTCAAATATGATCAAGATTCAGATCAAAGTCTCTTTTATGAAGCTGGCTGCTCTGCTCTGGATGACCCTCCATGCCCTGTGTTCCTCTTAAGGTATAGTACAGAGACCCAAAGCACAAAGTTCAAGGGCTGACCTGACTTTTGATGGACATATCTAGTATTATAGGGAAAGCACCTAGTATATTACACCTATATAGCAATATTATCCATATATATAATATTATATTAAACAGGAGTAAGTATGAGCGTCATCTCCAAAGAAGCCCAATCCAGGGACAAGCTTTACTCATGGTGGGGATGCCTTTATCCAGGCTTTCGTCTTCAAATTTTGACTTTTGTCTCCTTGTATTTAATGTGGTTTTAACCACTTTGTTGTGATTGAGAAATGAGGACTGTTGAATCATCAAAGGATTTATGTTTGCAAGTTCAGTCATTTACCCACTAGACAAACCTGGGCAACGAACTAGCATTTCTCCCTTATCTTCCTTATTTGCAAAATTTCTGTCCTGCCTATCCCAATGGATCAAATTCATCCAAAATCAAATAAAAATATGAATGAGGGAAACCATATATGCTCTATAGTATTAATTATAACAAAATTGCCCTTTCTTATTACTTTTCATCCTGAGAACCTGTGTTTTTAAAATAAAAGTGAAAATGCAGAATCATTTGAAGATCAGTTGAGTTCATATGTCTGCTATAAGATAGCACAGTTCTTAACACACATTGGTCAACAAGTGTGGATTTTTAAAAAATGTATAGTGGATTGATTCTGGTTCTCAAGATGGCATAGCCATTATACCCATTTGCATAAATGCGAATCATTTTGCAATCATCTCCTGTGATGTTTTTAAGTAGGTAAAACACTAAATCTGAAAAAGCCTGCCTAGAAACTTACTCACTCTCATGACGGGAAGAGTTGGGGTCACAGAATGGTTTATTTGAAATGAATGACCAAGAAGTTCTCCTCCTTCCTCTATTAACAGCCATTGTTTCCCTAAGCTACACACACACAAATCCATAAGGGAAATCAATTTAAATAAAATACAAGTTGAATATTCCTTATATGAAATGCTTGGGACCGGAAGTCGTTCAGATACTGGATTATTTTTCAGATTTTGAAATACTTGCGTTACACTGGTTGAGTCTCCCAAATGCAGAAATCCGCAATCATCGGTGTTCAAATGAGCATTTCCTTAGAGCATCATGTTGTTTCCATTTAGATGTGGGATGCTCAACTTGTATACTGTCTTGGGTAGAAACAGTGAGACAGGGCCAGGCACGGTGGCTCATACCTGTAATCCCAGCACTTTGGGAGGCTGAGGCAGGTGGGTCACCTAAGGTCAGGAGTTCGAGACCAGCCTGGCTAACATGATGAAACACCATGTCTACTAAAAGTATAAAAATCAGCTGCGAGTGGTGGCAGGCGCCTGTAATCCCAGCTACTCGGGAGGCTGAGGCAGGAGAATCACTTGAATCCAGGAAGCAGAGGTTGCAGTGAGCTGAGATCATGCCACTGCACTCCAGCCTGGGTAACAGAGCAAGTCTCTGTCTCAAAAGAAAAAGAAAAGAAAACAAGTGAGGTACAAGTTATCAAATATTAACTCAATTCTCCAGAAGAGATCATTAGTGAGCCAGGTTAAATTATTATCATTAGGGATTTTCTTTCCTTATTTTCATTATTATCATTAGGAAAGCCAATTCCTAATGATCATAATTTCCCCTGACTCAGCCTGATCTGAACGGCTCACTATATACTCATCATTTTCTAAGTATGTACAGAGGATGCAGCCATATAGATTCACACTGTCAAATTCAGCATCCAGTGTCTATTCAACAATTGTGAGGTTTTTTTTAAAAATGAAATCATTTATATTATCTTGGCCCCTGGCTGTATTCCATATTCCCCTGTATTATTTGTCTGTGATTATTTTAAGCCTTTACAAATGCTATTTTTTAAGTATAGCAAAACAGTTTTTGAATTAAACTTACAGGCTTTTTCTACCATGCACTACCTCAAATTCTGAGCCTGATGAGGAAAATGCTGTTAGAAAAAAAGTACATACCGGGTTGACCCGGCCTATTTCAGATTCCAACTCTTCCCTAACCGCACTGGAAAGCAGAATTTACTGTTATTAAATATGATGTGGCCACAAACTACATCTGTTCTTACAATTGTCCATGTATTGCCTAAGATTTTTTTCACCATTATCCGTCTTCTTTCCCAGCAGCGACAATCTCATAACTGTTTCAGGGATCAAAACAAGACAAACAGCTCAAAACATCCTCAAATTCTATTTAAAAATGCCCTCCCTCATTTTTTATCCATCTACTCAAAGAGATTCAATCATCTATCAGCTATTTATTGAGTATTTGGGCGCTTTAGGAAAGAAAAGAAGTATTTCTTAATCATGAATACAAAATTTAAAAGTCTCCTGTCTATTTTCAATTAGCTATAGTCTCCCAGAAGAAAGTCCTCATGTACACAAATCATTAATATGGAATACAGGAAGTGCTGTGTGCCATGAAGAGACATATCATTAAAGCCGCTAAAGAAGAGCAGAAACTTGAAAAATCATAGCCAGTTTCAGGGACTGTATGTGATCTGGACCCAATGTAGTTATAATTTGAGGAAACAGATATGGGAGGAGACAGGTTTTCCAGAGGAAGGAAAGAAGTTGAACAAAGTAATGAAGGTAGAAAAGTATAAAAAGTGTGCAGAGATATTATAATTATCTGGCTTCTCTAGTGCGGTAGAAATCTGAAGGAGGAGAGTGAGAGAAAACAAATGTAAAAGACAAATTTGGGTCCTCAATATTGGGCTAAATTGTACAGATTTTATTTATTTTGGAAGGTGAGCCATTGATGGTTTTCTAGTAAGTCAGAGATATCCAGAAACATTAATCGAACAGCTATCTAGAATGAATGGGAAGGGAAAAAATTGAAATCAGAAATAGCTTGGCTATTCACTATACTAACCTAAACAACAGGCAAAGGAAGCCTGAGAGAGGTGTTGGAACAGAACAGAGGAGATGGATGGAAATGAGGATTTGACAACTTCCTTGGTTGAGACAGAGAGAGACAGAGAATATTTCCACGCTAAATCTGTTATTCTTTTAAATTTATTTCATGGGTAGCATTGATATTGATTTATGAGCCTAAATTATTCTTTCGAATTTATTTCACAGTGTTGATTTATGCCCTATTCTAATTTCTAAATAAGAAGTTCCTGAAATTTCAGGAAGGTAGTAAAAAAAAAAGGCAATTCAAAAATAATACATGAATTCATTGAGCCAAGCCAAAAGGCAAAGTCATGACAAAAATACACGAATAGTTCCCTTATTCATATAGAATAGTACTCAGGAAAAGGCTGCTCTTTTTACAATATAAACAATGATAAAAAGAAGAAACATACACATCAGAGTCAATGAACCCTGTCTCAGTCTGCTTTCTGTTGCTCACAGCAGAATACCTAAAACTGGGTAATTTATAAAGAAAATAAATTTATTTCTTACAGTTATGGAGGCTGAGGAGTCCAAGGCTGAGGGACCACACCTGGTGAGGGTCTTCTTGCTCTTGGGGCTCTGCAGAATCCCAAGATAGCACAGGACATCACCTGGGAAGGAGGCTCAGCATGTCAGCTCTGGTTTATATTCTACTTGTTAAAAAGCCACCAGGCCTACTCCCATAATAACCCAACAATCCATTAATCCATGAATCACCTCCTCAAAATCTCATGTCTTAATTCTGCCACATTGGGGATTATGTTTCAACATGAGTTTTGGAGGGGACAAACAATTAAACCACAGCAAACTCCAAATAAACACTCAACATGTATGTGCCCTTTAGCCAAACGAAAGATGCCAAGTTGATTCCACACTGTAATCTGTACTCAGATTAACACTGAACTCAGATACCAAATGCTAAAATAAGTAAAAGCCAGATAAAACTGACTGAAACATAGTAATAAAATTAGCAAATCATTTATTTAAAACAGTACAAAGCTAAGCATTCTATTTTTTTTTTCTTGAGACAGAGTCTCGCTCTGTCGCCAGGCGGGAGTGCAGTGGCATGATCTCGGCTCACTGCAACCTCCACCTCCCAGGTTCAAGCAATACTCCTGCCTCAGCCTCCTAAGCAACTGGGATTTTAGGCATGTGCCACCACACCTGGCTAATTTTTGTATTTTTAGTAGAGATGGGGTTTCACCATGTTGGTCAGGCTGGCCTGTAATCCCAGCACTTTGGGAGGCCTAAGCAGGCAGATCGTCTGAGGTCAGCATTCTATTCTTTACAAACATGGCACTTCTGTGGTTTCTATTTTCTTTGTCTTTTATTCTCATTGTAAAAATGGTATCAGAATTGTGTGTGCATCTGTCTGTGGACGATGACAAGTCCACAATGAGCACCATTTATATATGCAATATTTACGTTGAAATGATTCCTCAATCATACTGTTAGCAATACTTAAAAGAATAGCAGTATTGCAGACGTTCACGAAGGCATAGGCTAAGTGACGTTCATTGCAGAGTTCCTTCCGGAAGGAGAGCAGTAAGACAGAATTTTCTGAGTACAGTGATCTTCTTCAGTGCCAGGACTGATGAGGAAGTGGAAGGTTTGTTCTGTATTTGGAAAGACTGAGATATAGAGTAGGGAAATGTGGAGTAAAACAGAAGTAGAGTGAGAAAAATAAACATGCCAAAAAAATCAGAGCTCAGATTCTGACTTTATCCATTCCTTAGAAGACGTACCTTTGTACATAAGTAGAAATCATTACAGACACAGAATTATAAAACTTGGACACTAGAGGTGGTTTTGTAGTGACTCCAACATGACTCTTTATTTTATGAACATGAAAGCTGTTGCTGGGGAAAGTGAAGTTTTCCTTCTCTCTCTGTATCCATTCTTCTCCATAGTAACAGCATTATTAAAATCAACTTTATTTCTAAAAGGCAACAGTGTATGTTTTAACAGAAAGTGCAAACAAGATTTAACTCCGAGCTAATCCTCTGAGATTAGATGTATCCCATCTTATTCCTTTATTTATTTTGGGTGTCCCTGTATTGCTAATGACTCAACAGCCAGCCTGTCGTCCAGCTTCTGTGCTTCTTTCCTGGCTCAGAGCTCCTCTGCTTTTCCTCTCTCGTGAGCACTAAGACAATGGCATCTAATCTGAGCCTGGGGACTTGGCAGCTCTTGAGCACCACTTTGCCACAGTTTATAAGTATGAAAGCTCTTAACTGACTAGATCAAAGAATGGAAAAAGCTACAGGCCACATACCCCTAATGTTTATCGTCAAAGGAAGTACACAAAAATGGGATATGGTCACTCAAAAACATCAAAACTGCAGCCATTTCATTAAAGCATTATGAACTAACAAAATGGATTAAGTGGAGAATTTCCTTTCAAAGGTGGAAAAGATCTATATAATGACTGACACCTAAAATAGAAATCAATATAAAAGTTAGTTTAGATATAGAAAAAGCAACTTTTGAAAAATGGTGTATTCTGGATGCATCTATCTAAAATTAGAAATAACTTTTAGCTGTTTATCACCAACTAAAATGTCAAAGGTATCCTTAATTATTGAAGTTCTGTTAAAATATTTGTAGAAATTATATGT